GCACAGAAAATCAGCTGCCGTGCTTAAAATACACCCCACAGTTTTGGAAGGCTGATTTTCAGAGAAAAGCTACATGTAGTCCATGAGTAAATACAGTATAGGATCATAGGAAAATAAGGCTCGAAGAGACCTTGTGAGGTCATATAGTCAAGGCAGGATCATTTCTGAGTAAACCATCCGAGCTAAGTGTCTGTCTAACATGCTTTTCCAGGACTGAGATTCCACAGTTTATTTAGGTGCAGTAGTCTGTTCCAATGTTTGACCACTCCCCTTGTCAGAAAGTATGAAGCTCACTGATTTACTACTAAGCATGTCAATGATACCATTATACTGGTTTTAATTTACTCTGATTTACTATGACTCGCACTGGATCAATACTACCATTTTGTCTGTCCACTCCTATACTGGTATAAGTGGAAGTAAACCACTGTAACTTTAAACCTGTTTCATCCAAGTTTCACGTTACAGCAGTTTGGTTGTACCTATATTGGTATAAGGTGGGCAAACACAATAGTTGCATCAGTTTTGATGTTGTGCTCCTAAACAGTGCTTCCATCCCTCTCTTTTAAATTATTATATCATTACTTCAATCCACTCCTAAATCATATGAGATGTATATTCATACTGTGAACATTATGGGGTTCACAGTAATTGTACATCTGCCTAGGTCTTTGTTCAACTGAATTCATAGAATATTAAAAGTTTTACAGCATATTTTAAGAGGTTCTCTTTTCATAGGCCGCATTACCTTTTGCCTTAATGCCTTTTTTCCTACAAAAAAGAAACTTTTAGGATGAACCCTGTTGATTTCAAATTGTTCTTGATACATGCTACTGATACAGACACAAAAGTTGCAAATGATAACTGGTTTTAGTTGACATCTATATCAAGTCTGTGGAGTGGTGATATTAACTGAGATCTGTATGTGTTCATTTCAGGGATAACAGGAGTTACTAACACCTGAGTTTCTCTCCTTGAGAGAGCCCATGTCAAATGAGAACAGCCACACTGAGAAATAACATTTGATCTGTTGTGGCTACAGTGTACTCACTTAAACCTGGGTACTCCTTCCTTCAGAGTGAGTCAAAAGGGATTGGCATCAGGTCTGAGCACCTCAGTTATCTCAACCCATGTATGAACAAACT